GACTTTTTCGAGTTAGGTCACTACTCTTCAGGCTCATCGTATGAGCTATCGACGAATTTAATATTAGACGAAGAATTCAACACATAGAATTTAAGAGTAATCATGATGTTATTTCAAATGTCGATGTGAAAAATTGCTTTTGGGCCTTTTTATGCTTCGGCAGCATGGAGTCTGTTATATTTTTTCAGGTACAGATTAAATTGAGTCCGATTTTGTAAGCCTCCAGTTGGAGAATATATAGTAGTAGAGCTAATTGTTTAGTCTGCTTAAGAATTAGAGAGCTTACAAAGATCGAATACCTTACTTTGTCGTCGTAACATGAATGAATTAAATATGATATTATGTTTAATATGTTTTATTTTTGAGAAGAATAAAATATAACAATAACTAACAACTAGGATAATAATAAGGATGATAATAGTTAGAAGAAAAGATATTTATGTAACGAAGGACCAACAAGAGTGAATGAAGCGAGTAACATACAAAACAATAAACAAAATAACAACGAGGACAGAGAAAAACAACGTCTTATATAGACTATGAGAAAAGAAAATGAAAATGCGTAATAGAGAAAAGAATGACGCAATGGAAAAAGATGGTCATAATATGTCCTTTTGATATTAAAGAGGACAATATACATTGAACATGAAGGGAAAAAGTCAAATACGATAGATATAAGTTAGCGTCATAGAGTAACATCCGTTGACGCTAACAGATTTTCAACTGGACAACTTTTTCTTAAAAGTGAATAATGCTAAGTGATGCAATAAGGAGGAATCAGCTTTGCTTCAGGGCAAATTTCACAAATTTTCTTAAGATGATGGTGATTCATTTCTTGATTCAGCCATATTTTATGTAGAGCCATTGGATTTTCGTAATAAACTCCTTCAACCGAAAAAGTTCTTGCAATATTTCTTGGAGGTAAAACAGCTATTGATGGAAGATGCCTGGAAAACCATACATCTTCTGGTATACCAGCACCAGCTGGAAAGGTCATATTCTGAAGCAATTTGATAGTTTTGCTTCGACTGCGTAAAGAGAAAGCTCCATTTCCGCCCAAAACTGGCAGTTGGGGATTCAGAGGCCATGGAGCACCGACGTAATCATACTGTAAATAATCAGTGATCTTATGTGGAGAGTTTGAACACATTATAGAGTCGATATGAAAAATCAATACTTTCTCCCCTCGTACTTGTTTCCAAAATGATATATTAGTTAGATAGTCATCTTGAAATTCCACTCGTCTTCCATCGTATTCACGATATTGAGTTAATATTATTCGGCCAGCTTTGATTAGCGCAGATATTGAGGAGTTCAACAGGAATTCTTTATTTTTGGTACCGTGGAAAATTTGAACAGGCCAAGTTGTTGGTATATGGTCTAGGGTATTGCGGATAACAGTAATTACTAAAGCCGAGTATCTTGATTCAACTAGCAAAGCAATCGCTGGATAATCTTTTGCAGTAGAAAATGTAATCAGACAAGGAGAATTAGCTCCCTTCTGTTTTGCATAGACAAATAGATGTGTAAACAGAAATGCAATAATGAATATCACCAAAACATATAGCAGAATTTGCTTCTTTCTACTATCAACCAATAATCGATACAAATGCATCCACATTTTCAAGATGTAATCTAAGATGCAATTCATGAAAAATTAGAGCAATTCTTTTCTGTTTTTTTTTTAATAAAAAAAGTAGATAGAGCTCTATAAGCCGAATACTTTTTCATAAACCTGTCGAAGGATCTCTGCTGACACCATATAACCTTCAAGGATTTCTAAGTTCAAGCATTTAATACAGAGCGAGTATATGAAAATGAAAAGAGAATGTGATATACACCTAGGGATTTATGATTCAATACCTTCAGAAATATTTATTATTGTATGCATCAGAGTAAATTATTATATGTTGCCATTCGAAGACTGTATTATTCTGTGTCTAAGGTTTGTTTATTCTACCTTTCTATCGTATAGATTTATTATTCACAACACAAAGGTATACTACGGTTTACTTTCATTAGGGACGTTTATTATTTTACGCATACACTGAAGAAAAAAGTATACTACAAAAATTATGAGATCACATGTGAGATTAATATTTTTCGTGTCTCATCTATAGCACGAATATATGTCCACCAATCAGAGACTCGATTGATCTGATTTGATTGTTCTGCTGATCCGTTCACGTTTACTATTCAATCGAGCTTAGAAATTACATCACTGAGTTTAGACTTCATACTCTTCTATACTGTATTTATTGCGGAGTCAATAAAGAAAACTTCATGTGTAATATTCACACCTCATTGTTCGTTAAATCCGTGAATAACTTGAAATTTACTGAAAGAAGTATAACTTTTTTGCTGGACCAGTTTAACACGATTCGATCAACGTACAACTTGAGTAGCTATGCCTAAAAACTATTGTCAATGAAAACAAGGACAGCATGCATCACTTGATTAGTGAATATTATTGGTTAACAGATCACTTTCCGGGTAATACCTCTCTATTCTCATATTTGTTTTTGGGTCCAGTAAATTCAGATCCTATAAAACTTTCAGGATATGCAAGGGCTGTAATGCAAATGCTAAACTAAAATTTTCTAGTTCACTTCCATGAGGCTTTTGATACATGCATCGAACAAAGGTCCAAAAAATATAATGGGTCTAAGTTTAAGTCGAAGTTTTTGCGCTCATCCTCCTAGGCTTTCCCATCACAGATCCTAGTAACCCATTCTAGATTCTAGCAACAGGAGGTCGCACGTAAGCTATATCAGTGCGTATATCATTCTGAAAATCTCTAGATTCTAACTGTTCAGTCTAAATATTGCGAATTTCGGGTTTTTCATGCAGCGAAATGAACTTGTTATACATATCAATCAATAGAGCGATTTTATTTTTTGTCTAGCAGAGTCAGAATAGGACGAATGTAAAAACAAATATGAACTAATTTGATTCCAAGTTTTGACAAAACTCAGCAGTTTAAGTCGAAATTCGTCGAAAGAAACTATAGGGTGCGTGGTAGCTTAGTGAGAAAAAAAAATCAATATGTGTAGCAAGCTAATGTAGTAGTCGAACTGATGAAACAAAGAGTAAAGTTATATTTGCTGTTTCCTATGGCATATGGAGTATGTCTATTGCTATTAGGAAAGTAGAAGTTATATATTGAAGATTTATCTGATAATATCAATATGTTTTTCCCGTATAACGATATTAAGTGACTGAAATAAATTGCTAGAACAGTAATCATAGATACAAACATTTTCGGAATGATTTAATTTCAGAGCGTATGTATCAGCTAGGAAACTTGTTATAGTTTTAATCTATTTATCTATTTTGCATTTTTCTCACGCAACTATTTTAAAACACCTAATAATATATTGTAAATTTATAAAAGGCATTTCATACGTAACAGCCCCCTTTTTATGAAGTGAAATCCTTACAATCACGGTCGTTACTTATGGAACATCCTCTATATCAAAGTGTGCTGCGTCGTTTCGAATCAGTTGTGTATCAGTTCGTAGAGGTCAATGAGCTGATTCTTATGTAAGAAAGCGTTCTTCCCCGGGTGATCTTAAACTAGACAAAACTAATCAATTCTACTCGTGATGGATCACATTCGAGACAATGAACACTGAAGTTTTGCATGCATTAGCATGTGAGAGATGAAACTTCATCATCGAGCGTCTTACTTTTGATTGCACATCATTACTTGATATACTAAAAACTGCTCAACAATATCGCAATCTACATATTACAATGTTCTTCTCATGAAACATCTGCATTATCTACATATTATGCTATGACAGACATGAATAATGCTGAAAGAGCATTATTTTATACATGTGTTACTGACTGTTATGGTCCAAGTATGCGAATATCGATCTGCTTGTTCTTTCGCACGCTTTACTCCAAGAAAACCAGCATAGAATAAATGACAGCATATGCATATGCTTATTGAGAAACACATCGTAATATATAGATTTCGCCATCATTGGGCAGTTTTTAGCCTATCAAGTAATGATGTACGACCACAAGTAAGAAAGTCGATGATGAAGTTTCATTCCTCACATGCTAATGCATGTAAAACTTTAGTGTTTATTGTCTCGAATGTGATCTACCACGAGTACTCTGAAAAGAAATGGAGTTTTGCAGAACCTTTTTGGGGGTTCTGCTGTTGGGTACTACTCTGAAAAAAACTAAGGCGCCATACGAAACCATTTTTGCAACGAAAGTGAAACCTTTCTTGAGGCTTCATAAAAACCCAAGATACGTCCAAAATGATCGTCCGAACTTTAGGAGTCTTTTTTTAAAGATTTCAAAGGTTTCATACGAAACCCTAAAAAGGTTTCGTTTTCGTTGCAAAATTCCAAACCTTTTTAAAGTTCCGTACTATGTGCGAAACTCTTTTTAAGTTCTGTGCCGT